AAAGCAAGTCCATGTTGGCACTTCTTTCAAATCTCCTTTTCTCAAAAGCATTTGCTGGATTTGGACTCTTTGCGTTTAGATTAGAACCGTGACGAATTTTAGAGGTCCTGAGCTGTGTGACCCCAATATCGAACAGAAACGGAAGCCTCGTCTCCCGGGGCGTTCAGGGACGTCTCACCAAGGTTAAAATCCAATGGATAGTTGAGAGAATCAATGGAGTAAAATGAAATGGGTGTTGGAGGTTTTTAAAGATAGATGAGAGAAAATAGAGTGAGAGTTCAATGTAGAGGGAGAGTGAGTGAAAGTAATTGAAAGTGAGTAAGGCTCAACTTTTGAAAACATGATTTTGGGGACCTAATTCGGAGCTAATAGTCGACAGACCGCTCGAGCGACTAATAATGCGGCTCGATCACCCGCGAACACGTTCAATTTTGAAAGCCGCGACGCTCCGAGACGACGAATTCTTTGCTAGCCTTGTCAAACCAGTTACTTGACAAACGGTCGTGATCTCAACCACGCTACCAAAGCGACCCAAACGAAAGACGCGCTCAAGTGGTTTCTCAACGCCTTAAACAGTGAGGACTAGGGACTACCAACACTGGCCAACTCTCTCGGTTTCGCCACCAACACCCAAAAGTGCAAGATGACATCTCAGAAAACTACAGAAGGAGGTTACCTTAACTGACACAACCACGAGGGAGAATGGATAACAACACAAGCTTCAAAAAGGTTTAACAATGAAGAAGACCACATAAAGGGCAAAGGTTTACTAAAAAATGTACTCATTGCTTTAAAGAGAGTTGAGACATCGAGCAGATTCCCAAATATATATATATATATATATACTATATATATTATTATATATTTTTATAAAAAAACAGATATCCAAATCAAAAGTTTATTTACAATTTATAACCTTTTTTTGAAATACATTCAAATCTAAAAATAGCTTGTTGCTTGTGCTCACAAGCTTGTAAGTAGAGTGTTCATGAGACGGTTTGGTTTGGCATTAATACTAAATCTGAATCCAACCCAATCATGAGCAGTTCAAAATTTTTTGGACTCCATAACCAAACCAAATCATGTATTAAAACCAACCCCAAACCCAATCCAACCCAAAGTAGGCATCGGTTGGTTCGGGTTGGGAACCATGGTTCCACTATAATTAAAAAACAAGCAAATTAATCAATAATATAATTAAAATTTAAACAAGTGTTTAACATCTACACATAACACAAACAAAAAGCAATATTATTTAGAGATTATTTCATTCTTTTACCCTATACTTTGGTTCACAATTTTCAATAACTCCCCCAAATTACTCTTATTTTCACACGTAACCTTATAGTATTTCAAGTAACTATCAAATTTTGGCCCTTGCTGTGAAAATTTGAGACGGAGAAAAGTTAAAAAAAAATTACATTTTTCCCCAAATTTCAAAAAAAGATGCAGACCCACCCATTTTTTCTACCAACACTACCACTTCAAGCCCTTTCTATCATCTTTGTCATAATTCTGTTTCGTCTTCATTTTTACGTCGTTAGATTCTCACGGTCTAGTTTTCAATATTCACATCTCACACGTCTCGTTCTTCCTCTTTTGCCAACGCTATCGGAGCTCTGAAAGTTGATAAAAAAAAAAAGAAAGACTTTTCTTCTGGCGTTTTGACTTTTTCTCGAGCCATCTTTCGGACTTCATATCTTTCTCGTATTCTTGACGATTCTAACTCATTATTTCGACTTCTCTTCACCCCACTTCCTACTTTTGCCCTTACCTACCTTGCTTTCCTTATTCTTTCGTGTAATGCGGTGGTTTTGGTATGTCGAAATTTTTTCAAAAACTTACTTTTGAAATTTCAAAACATTCATTTTTGGTTTCTTTCTTCTCTATCTTTCTCATTCTTTCTATTCTTCTTCTCTCACTTATAACATGATATGAACATGGTTCTAGGTAGTACGGAATTGGTGATAGTAGTGTGGCAGTTCGTAATAGCGGTGGGGTTTGGTGTTGTAAGTTTGGTGGTGATGGAAGTGCGGCATGGTGGCGGTAGGTAATGGAAACTGGTTTGAAAAAAATATGATTTGGTGGTAAATGGAGTAATGGACTTGGCTGTGAAAAATGTGGAATTTGGTGTTGTAAGGTGGTGTAGATTGGTAATGCTCATGGTAGGTGTAATGGAACTTGGTTGTGAAAAAAGGGGGTTGGTGTTGTAAGGTGTAGTGATGGTAATTGCTCATGGGTGGGTGAAGTTGCGTCATGCGGTGGTGATGTTGGTTGAAGTGATGTTGAGTTGAGATTGCATATGCCCGAAGAATATCACTTTCACAATGTCGATTCGAGGCACTTTGTGTCATGGGAAGTGGAGGAACATTGTCGGTATTTAGTCCTCATGCGTCGGGAGGTTCAGTCCTCACAAAGATTTTCTTGCAACATTTGAATTTTGAGGTTCAATGACCCAAGGCAGACGGTGGAGTGCTTTGCAATGTGTATGGTGTTGTCTGCATTGAAAATAGGTGTAAATTCCGAAAAGAGAGCCTAAGAGGATATTTAACTGAGAGAAAAAACTCTTATTTGCATGTTTAGATTCATATCATGATAGAGTAGTCATAGCAAAATAGGAGAAATTAATAAGGTGCTCATTAATTTGTATTCAAACATTAATTGCTATAACAACAAAACCTTTCTTCTAATACAAAAATTTAGCTATTTCGCTACACAAGATTTTTTCTTAACAATACAGAATTTCTTTTGTTCTTAGGCAAAACATTGAGGTTTTGCCATCTCATCTTACGATCCAAGTCTAACACGCGCACGGGTGTTCCATTCAAATGGACTGAGAAAATTCAGTAGAAAAGATGATATGTATGTTATATAAATTAAGAATAAAAAAAAGATCACCTACCGAATCACCAACTCGTCGGCACTGTAACTTCCAATTTACCGCCACCACCACGTATCCACTAGTTCCGTTACCACCTAGAAACCATGTTCACATTCATGTTATAGGTGAAGAAGAAGAATAGAAGAATGAGGGAAGATGAAAAAAGAAAGAAACAAAAGATGAATGTTTTTGAAATTTTCGAAAATTAGTTTTTAGACAACTTTCGGACATTATCAAACTGTCCATTACACAACAGTAGTGAGAAAGCGAGGTAGTGTAGGGCGAAGAGTAGGAAGTGAGGTGAAGAGAATGAACGAAAGAATAAATAGAACCGTCCAAGAATTTGAGAAAGATATAGAAGTCCAAAAGATGGCTCAAAGAAAAAAAGTCGAACGAGAAAAAAAAGTCTTTTTTAGTTTTGTATTAACTTTCGGAGCTCCGGATAGGCATTGCAAAAAGAGGAAGAATGAAAGTGTGAGATGTGATACGAAACGTAGACCGTGAGTTACAATCCAACGACCTAATAATTGAAGCGAAAAGAGAGTTCATGACAAAAGAGATAAATGGCTTGAAGTGGTGAGTTGTTGGTGGTGGTTTGCTGGTATGGAAAATAGTGGGTCTGCATCTTTCTATTTTGAAATTTGGGGCCAAAAATGTAATTTTCAATAACTTTTTTCATTTCAAATCTGCACGGCTGGGGCAAAATTGATACGCAGCTTAAAATTAGTATAGGGGTTACACGTGAAATAGAAAGTCGGGAGGTTCATTGAAAATGTGACAAAGTATTAGAGGTAAAAAATGAATAATCTCTATTCATTTAACTGCCAAGCAGTACCAAATTAGCTTCAACCTTCCAACAGATTCCTAAATATAATCAATACAACATAAACCATTCATTGAATACCAATCAAATACAACTTAAATAATGGGAATTTTGACTTTCAAGTTTCTAGTACATCTCTTGTTTCATCTAATAATTCATCTGTTATGAAAAATTATTTAGCTCTATCAAGTCATTGTAATAGGTAATAAGAATAAAAGATATGTTCAATATAAATAACATTACCTATATATTATGTTCGGTTCTCGGATTGGTTTGGTCTATAGGACAAGACCTAAACCAAATAACCCAACCAATTTTATTAGTTTTGATGAGGTTGAACGACTGTAAAACGAAAATCAATGCATCAAAACAACCCAACCCAAATATATCGGTTTAGTTTGATTTTTCGATTCACAGGAACTGTAAGGATATTTTAGTCCGAAACAAGACACTGAAAAAGTATAGGACAAAAATCAACATGTATTTTTTTTTTTCTTAAACTAGTAAAGAACTATAATGGGAGAGTTGAAAACAAAAAATCCCATTTCTAAATGGTGTAATTTTATTTTTATTTATTTAAAATTATGCTAAACAAAATCATGAACAACCCTATGGTCAGATCACGTTAGCCGGCAGAATCCCTAGATAGACTAATCATATGTTTTGGTTTAATATTTAAAAATTATTTTTGAGTAATTTTTTTTTATTTTTAGTGATTTTTTAAAAATATTTTTTAATTAATTTTTTATTTTATAAATTCATCAACATTTAGATGCATCTAAAAAAATAAAAATAAACTAAAATATAAAAAAAAAATTTACTAACAAATGAAAACTCAAACAAATTTAGTGAATATTTTTTTATATTTTAGGCAAAAAAATTTAAAACTTTTTAGATGCATTTAGATTATATGCATTTAAAAAGTAAAAAAAAAAATACAAAAAATGAAAAAAAAAAAAAACCACTAATGACAAACGAACACTTGTTTAAAAATAATTTTTGAAAAATCAAACAAACAGAAAGCTCCTTCACCTCAGATTTTAGATTATTAATAGAATCCTAATGGAGATCCCCACGTTTTCCTACCCTCACTAGCCCCACAAACACGTGGGGGTTGGTTATTGAAAAAGAAAAAAATTAAATTTTTTTTTTTTCTGATCAATCAGACCCCACGGGGGTCTTGGGGGTCACCCCAGTGGGGTCTGAAACATAATGCTTATTATTATTATATCTTTTGTTTTAATGAGGAATAGAAAATTAGGATATTTTTATCTTTATTTATTTTTTTAATCTTGGACCAATCAGCCAAATATTTCAGTTAACAAGTATCCATGCCTGCAATGACATGTAGTGACAATCACTAAACATTCCTCAATTTTTTCTTGAACCCATCGGTCAACTCTTCTTCTATTTCCATATAAACCCTCAAAACCAATCTCACCACTCACCTCAAAACCCATCTAAATTTTCTCTCTAAATTATCAAAAAAATAAAAATAAAAATTCATGGGTTCTGAAACACTGTCTGCCAAGCTTCCAACGGTTGAATTTACGGGCGAAAACTTGAAGCCTGGCAATAGTTCTTGGATCGCCACGTGCCACGAAGTCCGTCGAGCACTCGAAGAGTATGGTTGCTTTGTGGCAGTGTATGAAAGAGTTGATTTGGAGCTTGATGAAGCAATATTCAGTGAATTGGAGGAATTGTTTGATCTCCCAACAGAAACCAAAGTCCAAAACACTTCTGATGTGCCTTACTTTGGCTATGTTGGACAATTGCCGTATATTCCTTTATATGAGAGTATGGGGATTAGTGATCCACAGACTCTCCAAGGAACTCAAACTTTCACTAAACTCATGTGGCCTGCCGGTAATGACAAATTCTGGTATGATTTGATCTCTTTTGTTTTAGGGTTAATTGTGTTAAGATTTCTCAACTACTAGCGAATATCATTTTATTTCTTTATCTATAAATCCGTACATTGACCCTCTCACTTGTGAAAATTGTACAAATACATCTCTTTTGAATATGGTCTCCAGGAGTGAAAGTGATACATTTTTATAGTTGAGGGAGTCAAATGTACCGATTCATAGATGAAAGACAATAAAGTGATATTTAATAATAGTTAAACAGTATTATTGTAAATAACCCATCGTTCTATTTATTGTTTGTAAAGTACATGTTTCGTGTCAACTTTTGCTGGGTCTTGTTTGATTAGAATAAAATAAATGAGGGAAAGTGAAAATAGTAATAAGTGTGGTAAAAGAAAAAAAATGAAAAGAAAATATATTTTCTTATATTAATTTGATTATGATAAAAATTTTACAAGAAAACAGGAATTTAAATTATAATTAACTACTTTTCTAACAAATTTAAATTTTGTTGTGTTTCTCTTCGTTTTTTTACAAGAGACTAGAATCTTAGTTATCATGACATTATGAGTTGTATAAGAAAATCAAAGTTCTTGTAACTTCCACAACTTTTATGTTAAACAAATTCTGAAAAATTTCACCATGTTTAGTTTCAATTTTCTAAATATTGAGTTTTTTGTTTTTCATATCTTTTGTTTTTAGTGAATTTTTTAAATATTTTTTTTTTACTTTTTAAATACACCTATAAATACAATTCAAAACTATAATATTTGTGAAAAAATCTTTTAAAAAATTCACTAAATATAAAAAATACAAAAAAAAAAATGAAAATTCAGTCTATTTTTTTATTCTTATGTATTTATTGATTTTTTAAAATATTTTTTACAAATATTTTACTTTTTAGGTACATCTAAGTTAGGTACATCTAAAAAGTAAAAATTTGTTTAAAATATTAAAAAAATCATTAAAAGACTAGTTGACTGGAGATCCCAAGATCTAGGTTCAAAGGGACAACCGAGTTGTGATTGACTCAGAAGGATCACTGGGGAGTCTAACTCCTACCCATTTCTTTGATGAAATAGTGATGTCTGCAGCGTTAAAGGTTAAGTAAAATTTTAATGATTCTTATATCTAGGTAAACCTAGTTGAGTATGGCAGGATACTCTTCATAAGAATCACCTATATGAGTGTGAATTGGGCCGGTTCTATGAGATTTGTGAAGGGCTACAATTCTCTAGAACACTCATGAAAGACCAGGTTGTTCAGGGCCAAAATGAACGCAATAGTGAGAACTAAACTGTGTCTGGGAATATACTGTAAGTTCTATTGTTTTGGTTTACACAAACGGCTGAACAGTTCAAGACATCATGTTCACTGGTTAGCTAGTAAATCCGATAGTGCTCACAAGGGAAGGTTCAAAGCCAAAAGCTACCTATCCTTTGCAGAATATTTTCAATTTTCTGTACTCTGTGTATTTAGATCATGTTGTTGCATTTTCTCTCCATCAAATTCCATTCATGTGGGGGATTGTTGGAAAAATGGTTTAATATAGGCATATTTTTTTTAGCTCAATTTTGAGTGGGCCCCGAACGTCTTTTGGGGTGGGTCCGAAGAGGTGATGTGTTCCTTGCAGCGTGGCAAGTCACACGGTGAAGACGGAACGTCAAAACCTTTTATGAGTGAATGAGAAGTTGACGTCGTTTTCGGGTTTAACTTTAATTTTTTAGATAAAATTCATTTGAATTTTTTAATAAAAAATTATTGTGGGAATTTAATTTAAATTCTAAATTTAATTTTTGGGTTCCTAAGTGGTCTCCTTAAATTTGTACCTCTTTCTTTATTTATTAAACTAGTTTAATATATATATATATATATATTCAAAATAGTTTATAAAATAAAGTCCAAATAGGTTTTTCACTATTGACT